AGAATGTTTTGAATTGTACACTAATATTTGCCACTATGCAAAGAACTGGGTAGTGCCTTTGTTGTTTAAATATCACTATGTGGTATAAAGCTCATACCAGTGGAGTATGAATTTTGGCAGAGGTCAGGTAAGAGTGCATCTCTTACACACACTTGAAATTAATGTAACTCCAAATAAATCATCCTAAAACAGAGTTTTAAAAACCAAGTTTCTAAAGCTGAGTAGTTCAGCCTAATGCAGTTGTTGACAAGTACACATTTATGATTATAATACAGTTTATAATGACATTTTTAGAGGTGGTCGAACATTAGCCACTTAGAATAGTTAAAATGAGTTTATTCAGTGTTAAATAAAAGGGATTATTAACTACTGAATGAACTGCACTGAATTTTTCACAGATATTAACTTAGCAAGGATTGTACTCCTGAGTTTAGTGGAGTGCTTGGAAAAGCTGTGACTTTAATTTAGACAAAGGCAGCTCTTCTAGTTGGGCTGTTTCAGAGAATTTTAAAATTAGGATAGCTCCCAGTATCAATCAATCTTTAGATTTACAATAACATATGGTTATATATATATATATATATCCATTTTCAAATGCCACTGAGTAATAACTGACTAATTGCAGATTAGAGAAGCAGGATTTGCCATTGAAGCAGCAGAGGAGAAAATGCTCACTGAACAGCAAATCAGAGTGTTCTACGACAGGAATAAACACCAGGTGATTAAAATTAAAAACCTAAGCAAAAGGAAGAAATAAAATGTAGTATTGCAATTCTATGTGTTTGCAAATCTCTGTCTGGAAAAGTTTTAGTATGGTGAAGAAGTGAATTAATGTAGATTTAGCACACAGGAAAAAAATAGAGATTTTCTCTCTTCTTTTTTTACTGAAATGGAGCACACCCCCCAAATCCAGTGTCACCTATAGGACAGTAAGTACCTATTTCACACATACTCTTCCAGCCAGAAAATAAAGGCTAGTCTATATTACATTTACCTTCTTTACAGCTTTTATCAGGGGGTAGTACTGGGAATAAGCACACAAGACATGGGAGGAGCAAAGAGAAAAAGCATGCAGGGCTTGATATATGGCAGCACTACTGCCCTGCAGCACATCCTGGCCAACATTAGGATAGGGAGGACAACAAAACTACAATGAACTACCAGAAGTAGCCCAGAGGGTCCTGTGCATATTGAGAAGCCAATTATTTGCCAGTCTTTAATGGTAGTTTTAAGCTGCAGGATAATTATGTTACAGTGCCAATATGGAACATGGATTCTTTTGTGCTCAGTGGGCAAATTTATTCCTGATTTAATACTCTGCAAGCTTGCTGAAGGTCCAGAGCCTATTATAACAGAATGGAGACTCAAGGCAATAGACCTCCAGATATAAATGGAAGATGAAGCTGTTTCTTTTTAATGATGAAGTTGGGTGATCCAGGGCAGCCAAATCTAATAGCCACATCTTTCTTTTAAGGTGAGCAAGTGGACTTTTGAAGCCACAATAGTATAAACACTCCCTTCATACATTGTACCAAATGTTTTTGTGCTTGCTTTTGCTCTGCCTCTTTCGGGTGTGATCTTTTTGTGGTATTGGTTGTGTGGGCATAGAAAGGAAGATAATTGAAAGAGGAAAGCCAGGAATTGAAAAGATAAGTGTGAATATTTCATCTTTGTGTTATTAAAAGAAAATTGTCCTACACAATCAGATTAGGCTGAGAAAATATGAAAAGATTTAGTCAAATATTTAAAAGGAGAGAAGATGTTTGAGGAAGTTCACAACAATGAAGAAAAAAAAGTGACATATGAAGAATAAAAATATTTAAAACCCAGGGCAGTGTCAAAAGCTACTTTCTGATGAAAATTTACACTTTAAGGATGGAAAGTTGAAACTGGAGTAGAAAGAACACAGCAAAGAGAATGAAGGGAAAGCCTACAATCATCTTGCAAACAGCTCTGTTCTGTATTTACAGCCAGCTGCATGATCTATAGTTCCAGAAATAACAGAAATGCTGAGTTACTTTGGAAAGGTTGGTCAGCTCATGGCTGATGATAAACCCAGAGTTCCTGCACTTTACAGGGGGAAAAAATTATCTTTTTTAGCCTGATTTTGAAGACTTTGTTCAGTTCATGATGAGTGGACCCTGCCACATTTTAGTAATGACTAAAAAAGAAGCAACGGATGCAATTCCTCTCTGGAAAGAGCTACATACAACCAATGAGCCTGGGACTGATGAGGCTGAGAAGCCAGACAGGTGACTACCAGTGAAAATGTGTATGTGTGATTCAATTACAGTACCCAGAGCACCCATATACCAAGGAACATTCTTACTTGCCCATATAAACAGGGTCCAGGAAGCAGGCAAAGTTCTTGGTTCTTCACAGGAGCACCCCTAGAGATGCAACCACCATTCCCACGAGAACATAGAAGCTCCACGTGTCCTAGGTACAGATAACAAGCAAAGGGCACTGATTTCTTGCTGCTTCTAAACCGCACTGGAGTGGGCTGTCAGACCAGTGGGAAGAGTGCTACACTTCAAAGCTGATGTTGTCCATCCAATTCCATTTCATAGCAGTTGACCCAAAGCGATGGCCAGCGTTGCCCACTGAGGGTTGCACTCTTGCCCATGGTTACTCCTATGCTGGGAAGCTGTAGATGTGGCCCAAGGGAGACTAGGGGCCACCTGAAGCATGCTGTGCTCCCCGGGACCTAAAAAGCAAGCAAATAGGAGGGTTTGGGGGTTTGTTCCTCCTACCCACCCAAGATACAGAAAAACTTTGTAGGGAGTAGCTGTTCACAACCATACTATCTTGACATGCCTGGTTTTCTCCTGTGCCATGTATTTGTAGAGATTTTTGAAGAGGATTCTATTTGTTTAAACAGCATCAAAGAGCTCACAAGAGTTCAAGTCAGAATCATAGGATGATTTGTGTCAGAAAGGACCTTTCAAGGCCATCGAATCCAACCCTCCTGCAGGGAGCAGGGACATCTGCAGCTAGAGCAGGTTGCTCAGAGCCCCATCCAACCTCACCTGGAATGGTTCCATCAACCATTTCTCTGGGCAACCTGGGCCAGGGGCTCACCACTCTCACTATCAAAAATATCTTCCTTATATCTAGTCTAGATCTCCCCTCTTTTAATTTAAAACCACCCCTCCTTGTCCTATCACCACAGGCCCCGTATTGGATCACATTTTATAGTTAGACATGAGAGATTATATTTTCTATAAGTGGCCAAGAGTGATTGTAGTCATATAGCTAAATAAACCTTGGAATTATAGGCAAGTAACGATGAGAAGTATCCCTGTTAAAGACAGTTCTGTGCTGCTATGGATTTTTTAATCACATCGTACATGAATTAAGCACAATCCTTGTATTGCTCATTCATTATCCCCTGTAGGCTTCTCAGTAGTAATCCCATCCAGTCAAACAGAGAGACTACTTGGAAGAAGCTAGAGGAGAATGAGAAAAGCTGAGATTCCTCTTTCATCACACATCACAAGGCACTTTTTGAGAAGATTCATACTTCTCAGAACCATCGCTTTAGTCATGAATCTGAATTTAATAAAAACTTGGTTTAACATTCTGTTCTTAACTGAGCTTTAAGAAAGTGCACCCTCAAGAAGTCAACTGTTAACACAGTGACTTCATTAATGCCTCTATCACTTTTTGTCTCATTAGCCTGGGAGGGATCAGAGAAACTGAGAGTATCTTAAGTCTATATGATTTGCAAGACAACGTGGAAGATGCCAGCAGACAACTTGCCTTCTTTTTCCCAAATTTGCATACAAAGAAGACAGACCAAAAGATTGAAAAGACTTTGGCTTTAATTAGACCTCATCTCTTAAAGGAAAGGCGAAGTAAGTGTTAATAACAACATTTCCTATCGAGGGTATATTAAAGGTCTCATATTTTAAACTTTAAAAACTCTATTATTGAAGCATTCTTATTATTTCCACAACATTAAATCAACAGTAATCCTTGCCAGGAAACAAGTTACATGGTTAATGTTTCTGATGTATTGAGAATGGAAATGTCACTGCTATTTTGTTGATTTTTTGAGAACATCTTTACATTCTATGTTTGGATGGAATGTTTCTAGAAGACCTCTCAGAGAAGCCAGTGGTTTTGAAGGCCAGTATAGGGTGTTATACCTCCCACCTCTTTTCCTGACTGCATACCCCAATAGGAAGGACATTACCATCAGTAAGCAGCATGCAGGTTATATCTTTCCCTCTGAGGCTAAATTATACATGGAAGATATGGGGTGGCTGCCACCAGAGAAACAAAGAAGTCAACACATTTACTCACCGTGTAGGATGAAGTGAAGACAGGAGCAAAACCACCAAGAAGCCAAGTGACCATTCCAATTGCACAGCCATAAAATGGTGCCCTTGGCACAGATGTAATCTTGCCTCTGCTCCCAGTTGGATTGGTGTCCCACCATCACCCAGAGCTCTCCTAACAATAGATGCTCAAGGAGCCCTTCCAGCAACTGGAAGTCCCACACTATGCACTCACTACATACAGGCAGGACACCTGATGTTAATGCTGAAGGTGGGGGCACCTGCTGGTGATCTCCTCATCACTTCCCACCCAAGACTGGCCAGACCCTGGGTGAAAACCAGTCAGGAAGGTCTCTCCTGCCTGGTTGTGGGCATCACCCATCCATCAACCCTGATGTAGGGCTGGGGGTTTAGACCCCAGAACTTCACCAGGATAACAAAGTAGCTGATATTATTCTTGAAGAGCAGTTTCAGGGCAGATCAATGGCAAGGTGAGGAAGATCTGACCCAGGATGTTCTATGCTACATAAGGGCAGGTTTATACAGACAACATTTTTATAGAACAAATCAAAAAATCTGCCCCATGAGCATAAACTCCCTCCAAGCAAGTTTGCTTCTCTTCTCAAGCCTGTATTTGCATTTCTTCCTAGATTCTAACTAGCATTTTTATTTCTAACTTGAGAATCTCTGTACTTGAAATAACCTACACACAGAAATCTAGAAGGCTACAATTTTGAACATCTCCTTGTGTGTTTATTTTCTTGATTGTTATCTACTGTGTTGCTTAGAGCAACAGTTTTGCAGTAATAATTATAGCATCATTTTAATTTCTGCCAAATTCAGCTTACTTATGCATGTGGTCTTGCAAGGCTTAGTTCAATGAGTATCCACCTCTTCAAAATCCTTAGGCTTTCTTTTTTATTCACCTGTAAAGTTATATTATGATGTAAAATTAACATTTATGATTGGAAGGTCCGTGTCATTTCTTCACAAGGGTGCAAATTAATGAATGGATGGCCATTTAGGGTTATTTCAATATATTAAACAGATTCTATCCTACAAAGAATAAAGGATGATGGCTTTGAGATAGCAATGCAGAAAGAAATAATTCTATCTGAAGAACAAATATGTGAATTCTACAAAGGGCATGAAGATCAAGACTATTTCCCAGTCCTTCTAGAACAAATGACCAGGTACGTTGAATGAAAACTGAGAAGGTGGATCTATAAATAGGAATGAATTTTTCACAGTGGAGCATTAACCTGAATAATACACAGCTACAAGACCTGAGAGTTTAATAAAGCTGAAAACAAGATAAGACAACTGCAGATAATGAGACAATTCCCAAGTATAGCAGATAAATTAATGAGGTTTTCAAAAATTACCAGCTACTCCCTATCTCTGTATGGATGATGTTGAAGTCAGTGGCCAACCCTATTGGTTTGGGTGAAACTCATTGAGCTTTGCTCTGGAAGGTGGCATTTAGGTTGTCTGTAGGAGAGCTCTGATATCTTCATCCAGGCTGTGTGCTGGATTCCTTGGGGAGGAAAAATAAATCATGTTTGGGTAGTGCCCTGGTAGGAAGTTGTGATATGAGTAGGACAAAAATTTAGGAGCTGATCAGCATTTTTAGATCTCATCCTAAACATTCCATTATATATTTCTATATTGTTATTATATTTATAATGTATGTAATGTATCTATAATATATAATTTATAATGTAGTTATATTGCCCAATTCTATAAGGTTCTTCTTTGTGCTAACATAGAGGAACTCTGGAATTTAATTCACGTTTCAGCCTCATGAGGTTTTTTTAGCTGTTTAAACAGATCAGTTTTAAAGCCCCCCAATAGCAGGACTCAATTTCCAAGCCTGGACCATATATAATCAGATTACTTTTACAAAATACAGAGAAATTTGGATTTTTTTTTTTTTAAATGCCCATTTTCCCACTTTACAGTGGCCCAACTCTTGTTCTTGCTCTAACACGAGAAAATGCTGTAGCACACTGGAGAGATTTATTAGGCCCAAGGACTGTTGAAGAGGCTAAGAAGGAAAATCCAAACAGGTAATTTTTACACGAGTAAACCACCACTCACAGCTGCCAATTTACTCTCACATTCCTCCTCTCTAAATAAACACCACATTCCAACTGGTGTAACTACAGTGCCATCATCTGGAAACTGATACATATTTCTTTATGCAAGAAATGTATCACACATAGAAACTGTAGCATTTTTTTTTGGAGAAATAATGGCTGCTAAATATAAGGAAAAGCTGAGTTTAAAAAATGGGCAGTGAAGCAAAATGAGATCTCTTGAGTCAGAGAAAAAAAGATTGGTAATATCTCATTATTTTTTGTTTTCTTGAAGTAGCACCATAATTTTTTAGAAGAGATGTTTATGTTCTCAGCTTAAAGAAAACTTTGCATCAGTAGAATATTTTATTTAAGGCTTTTTTATTTGTTTGGTTGGTTGGTTTTAGTTTTTCTCCTTCACATTTTATAAATGGACATCTTAGTTTTACCTTCTTATCATACTTTTCCAAGGAACTGCTGTGGTATCATCTTACAGAAGTGCTGTTTCGTTAAGAAAGATCTTGGAAATGTAAAAGGAAAAGAGTTGGGAGGGAAAATATTCATCATTCAGATAGTTAATTAAAAAGTTGATTGTTCTTTGTGTAGACAGTGAAAGCTTCCTACTCATGCAATGATATCACCAAGCACTTAAGTCATCAGATAAACATTAATTTATAGTAATTAAGTTAAGGCTCGTTAGTTGAAGCTCAAAATGGATGCTCTTTTGATTGACTTCACTCTTTTAATGACTCTCAGTTTACGTGCCATGTATGCAGTCAGCAACGTGCCCATTGGCCAGCTGCATGGTAGCTCTACACCTGAAGAGGCTCAGAAGGAGTTAGAGTTCTTCTTCCCTCAGGAGCACACTTTGGCAGTAATCAAACCTGCTGCTGCTGCCAAGCACAAAGGTGGGTCATCTGAAAAGCACAGGCTACCTCTGCTGGTGGGATTTCTACAAAAATCCCATCAGCAGGCTGCCCAGAGAGGCTGTGGAGTCTCCTTCTCTGGAGAGACTCCAAACCCTCCTGGATGTGATCATGCCTGAGCCTGCTGGAGCAGGGGGGTTGGACAAGATGGTCTCTAGAGGTCCCTTCCAACCCCTACTATTCTGTCATTCCCTGTGATGTCAGATGCATTCTTCTTATTCTCTGGAACATTTTTTCCCTGCAGAGAAATCATAGAATCATAGAATCCTTTAGGTTGGAGGAGACCTTTAAGATCATCAGGTCCAACCATCAAGCCAACACTACTAAGTCCTCTGCTAAAACAGATCAGAATCTGTCAGGGTTGGAAGGGACCACAAGGATCCCCCAGTTCCAACCCCTCTGCCATGAGCCGGGACACCTCCCACTAGATCAGGCTGCCCAGAGCCTCCTCCAGCCTGGCCTTAAAGACCCCCAGGGATGGGGCCTCAACCACCTCCCTGGGCAACCCATTCCAGGGTCTCACCACTCTCATGGGGAAGAACTTCTTCCTCACATCCAGCCTGAATCTGCCCACTGCCAGCTTTATGTAAAATCCTTTTACAGGACCTGCCTAATTCATATTGAGCTCTCAAATGGGAGTTTGGGATCTTACCTTAAAGATTTTTGAAGCCATTTCTTAAAACCTCTACATCCAGAGCCTCTCCTTGGCATTCTAACAAATCTTTCTAATATTAATTGTTCATTGGCTTTTGTGAATCTTCCTTCCCCTCTTGCACCAATTCAGGCTGATTTTGGCAGGCTGGTGTGTGATAGATCCAACATGAGAAACAAGGTCACCCAGTGAGGGTTCAAGGTCACCCCACGAGCTCTTGGTCATTCTATGGGCCTCAAGGTCAACCCCTAGGGTCAAGGTCACCTGGTAGACCTCAAGGTCAGCCCATGGGCTCAAGGTCACCCAATGGGGGCTCAAGGTTAACCCATGGCCTCAAGGTCACCTGGTGGACCTCAAGGTCACCCCGTGGGGTCAAGGTCACTCCATGGGGTCAAGGTCATCCCTTGAGGACAAGGTCACCCAGTGGTGTTCAAAGTCAGACCATGGGGTCAAGGTAACTCTGTAGGGTTCAAGGTCACTCCATGAGGTCCAGCTCATTGTATGGGGCTTAAGGTCAACCCCAAGAACCTCAGGGTCACCCTGAGAAGCTCAAGGTCACTCCATGAGGTCTTGGTCATTCTATGGGGCTCAAGATCACCCTGTTGAGGTGTAGTTCATAGCAGTCTGGGTTTGTCACCTCCACAGGGCTGGATTAGTGCCATGCCTGGTTTCTGTGTATCTTAGAGGATTGTTGAAGTGTTTGTCATGTCCATGATTGATATCATAAGGAGAATTTTAACAGCTATGGGTAATTTTTTTTCACTATTTCAATCAAGAATGACTTTTGCTTGTTCTTCTCCTAGATGACATCATGCAAAAAATTAAAGATGCTGGATTTACCATCTCAAAGATTAAAGAAGAGGCTTTAACTCAGGAAATGGCTGCCCTGATGTATAATGATCAGAAAGGAAAACCTTTTTTTGAACAATTAGTGAATTGTATGACTGAGTAAGTGTCTTTTATACAACACTGAGGTATGTAAGTGCATGTTTACAATCTCAACAGAACATGCTGCACCCAAAATGGGTGAAGGATTTTACACTCTGTCTCTCTTTCTGACAAGTTTCTACCCTGGAGTGCTTTCTTTGGAAAGAAGATTCAAAATTCTCTCTAAATTTGCGGATAATGACTATTAGTTTTGATTTTTTTCAAGAAAAGAACTAATTTCTAATGGAAACCTTCCAATGGATTCTTAATTCATAATTCTTCCAATGTAGGACAAGTATCTTCCTCATAATATTGTTGGTATAGCTGTTGATATGACAGTATTTATTGATTCATAAATTACTGGGTGAGAATCTTTCCAGGATAAAATCTCCAAATCCAAACAGCTGATCAACACAATCTCTTTGGCTTTCAAATATAAGCTATTGTCTTCAAACACTCAAAAACTTCTTTTAAAATTTAAACAGTCTCACAAAGTTCAGACAATGTTCATCCTAACCCTTCATGCCACCTCTGCAATCAAAGCTAAATCTGCATCTCAGGATAGTGTAAAACCTTCCTCGTGTTGATTTTCCAGGGGCCCCTCGGTGATAATGGTCTTAACAAAGGAAAATGCTGTGGAAGAGTGGAGGCAGCTCATGGGTCCAACCGATCCAGAACTGGCCAAAGAGACCTCTCCTGAATCAATTCGAGCTCAGTTTGCACAAGATATCTTGTCTAATGCTGTCCATGGATCATCTCATACAGAACACGCACTGAAAAGCATCGAGTGTGTATTTGGAGAGCTTGATAGAGATTGAAAAATCTATAAATAAAAGAGGCAATCTCTGAATATTTATATTAATGTCATTAAATATTCTCCATCCATTTTCCATTACATATTCTCCATCCGTTTTCCATCCATTTTTTTTATCAGCCACTTTTTTATCAGCTATTGATATACGCACTGAAAAGCATCGAGTGTGTATTTGGAGAGCTTGATAGAGATTGAAAAATCTATAAATAAAGTCAAAATGCAACCTCTGAAAATTTATATTCATGTCATTAAATACATGTGACTACCAACCACCTATATTTAAGACTGTATATACACATATTTTTCTTCATACTCCATCCATTTTTTTATCAGCCACTTTTTTGTTATCAGATATTGATATATCAAGCAAAACCTACTAGAATTTTGATATTAGCAATGATTTCCTTATATATGCTTAGTAGAGAGTTTTTCTTTTATCACTTTAACAGATTTATGCCTTTCCAATGGTTCCAGGAGTCTAAAGTGTATGTCTGGAACTACCTTAAAAACCAGAGTCAAAGGAGGTTGTTAAAACACTATTAGTGACATGTCCACTGGGATGTGGATTGTGTCCTCAAGTTCAGGGATCCTACAAAGGAGAAATGCTGAAAGGCAGCAGAGCACTGCCACAACATTGGCAGGGAGCACCAGCAAGTGTAGGAATGCTCCATAAGGGAGAAGAAGAGCCAGGCTGTGCCTTCACCAGTCCAGCATCCAAGCAGGACTGATGTTCCATCAGCAATCCCAGACAAAACAAGCAATGAACCAGGTCCAGGACCCACTCAAAAGTCCAGTCAGGAACAACAGGTGAGAAAGCCAGAGACAGGTCCTCCTGCAACATGGCTCAAGCAAGGGTTAAGCCCAAGTGTGAGCTTAAATGGGGCTTCTGGGCCTGTTGGCCAATGGTGTGGGTGTGCAGCTCATGTGAGATTGCTCAGCTCTGCTCAGGTTCCCTCGGGGTCTCAAAAAACATTTGTTTATTTATCCTTCCCCTAAACATCTTCTAACAATTACTGTCACAGGTTGGGTAATAAAGCAGAAGGTCCTTTCCAGTCTATTTACTCAATTCAGATATATCAGATGAAGTAAAATACAAAGCCAGCACTCACAGAAGAGCTATTCTTGACACACGTGTCCTTGCCAAACTAGAGAATTTGTATCCTGTCTCAGTCTGACTTGGCTGGCCTCCACAAAGAATGCAAATAGTCTTCTCTAGCTCCTATATTCTCACTCTTGCTCTCTGAGTCCACTCAGGGTTGAGATATTAAAGAATGGCATTCAATCAAAGCAATTTACTTAATAGCATGGATTATAAGTGCAAAGTCCAAGAAAGAATGGAGTTATTTCTCCCAGTTTCTGTGTTGTTCCTATTGTATTTAACACAACTGGCTGTTACAAAGAGCTTCCTGACAAATATTGCTGTTGTGATGGGGCGTTTGTTATTGTAGACATTCCTCCAGCAGAAGTTGGCCTGAGCATTCTCCTGGTGGCCCATTTTCACCTACAGCTGCCTGGCTGCCATGAACTCAACGTGAGGCTAGCTGCCCTGTAGGAAGTTGTGATTAGTGGAGAATTTACATGTCACCTTGGTCAGCTGAGTTCTGAGAAGCATATTCAGAATTGCTGTATGTTCTTTGGCTTCTTTTTTTACTTCAAAACCTCATTAAAACTGTTCTCCCTGGCATTATTTCAGCATTCTGGGTCTTTAGGGTGCTGGCACATGGTACTTTAAACCAAGAAGCAGTCTCAGGAAAGGTCTGAGTGGGGCTATTTTAGACACATCAATTCAGCTCATTTCCTGAGGTCTTTGCTAGACTGAATGGCTTCTCTACCAGTTGGGCAAATACAAGGTTGAAAATTTAGTTGGAATTCTTTTTGGATGGGAGCAGAAATGCTGAAAACAGCAAAATGTGTTTATGTCTTAAGAGTTCATGAAACTTCTGCTGGAAGTTCACAATCCAATGGTTTGGTAGGTATCATACACAGGTTTTGAATACTCTGGCTCACTTGTTGTACTGGTCTTAGAAATTTCAGTGAATTGTAGAGTTACAGTAGTTTTACCTGTATAAGTGTAATAGAATTTTATCTACTGAGTTATTGCTCATTAACCAACATTCTTCATCCTCCATGACATCACTGTTAATCAATATAGATTTTTTTTCTTCAGTTTGATTTAACAATCAGATGTTGAGGGATTCAATTTGAGTTCATATATGTTCATATATACATGAGTATATGAATATTCATATGTTCATATATATATATTCATGTGTGACAATTGTAAGCCCTGTAATTTTCTTCTCCTAAGCATGTTCTTGGTCTCATTGTCTTTTAGCAGCTTTAGAAAGGAAGAATTTAAGAGAGAGATTGGAAAACAATTTAAAAAACACTGTTTCAGTCAGCTGATGAAGAGATTCAGATTCGTGAAGGTTTTATATCTTTGGAGAATTATTAAAATATCTTACATTCAGATGCATGATAATTGAAATGCCATCAATGATTTAAGAGATTATTTGGTCTTTTTAACTAGGTATTGTACACATCATTTAGACTGCCACCCACTCTTCTTTGACTTTTATACTACTGTGACATAGCCATGAATGTGATTTTTAAGAATCTGAGCCCTTGTGATGGGTTTGGCAAGCACTTGCAGGAGGAATGTGTTCCAGCATAAACTCCATGGAGTCCTTCAAATTAAAATCTTGCCATTAAATTTACACCATTCCTCTGCCTACAAATCTTACAGAAAGTCTGACCCTGTCCTTTTATCTCATATCTAAATGTCAGATCAAAAGAGAACGTGACCTTCACGACCATTTATTTAGAAAATACCTCGTGGCTCAGCATAGAATTAGGTGGTGCAGAGATGTGATGAAAACTCTTCCAACACTAACAAAAGATAACGTAATTATTCTCCTGATTTTTATCCCAGCAGGAGGGAAGGAATCACAGGGCATGTTTATTTGTATAACAGACCACATATTTCCTTGTTTAGGAACTTTAATGAAATCATAATCTGACATTAGGACAACATTAAAGATCTATTTCGGTTTAAGATGGTAAACAAGCTGGTTCTGAATCTGAAAATACTGTTTAAGAAGAATTATTTCTGATTATTTTACTGATTGTAATGAGTATTTATACTGAATTACTGCAGAATAAACCAAGAGAAGTGGGGAAAAAGCTTTTTTTCCCCCTGCCAGGAAGATGGAGTCAGTCAGCTTGTGGCTGTAGACTGCTGTGCTGGTTTTCCTTTCAGACCTTGCAAATCCCTATTCCCTTTCTCCACAGTGACCAGATGATGAACTTCCCAATTTCCTTGCTCAGAGGATAAACACTGATGTGCTCTGAGTCTCTGCAGCCTGAAGAATTCATCACACTGCAGCCAGAAGGACTCAAAATACTTTGGGTGTTGGTCTGTTTGGGGCATTTCTTGATCCTTCTGATGCATCCATTGACCTTCTACATCTACCATAGACCATCTGGCATATTTAAGGCATTTCTGGGTTTTAATCTGAGTATTTTCATCTAGAGAAAAGGAGCGTGTCCTCCTTTCCAGATGTTTTCCTTTATGCTGATTCCCATACTGGTTTATCCACAAGCCTCCTGGCAGCAACAAGAGGAGTCTGATGGTAGCAGATATCTGGGAGGCCCTGAATTTACTGCACATCTAGCAAGCAAGTTCAAAATCCTGCTTCACCTTCCAGTAAAGCTGGTGATAAATTTCACTGATGTTACAGGAACTAGTGTCAGCAGTTGAAACCAAATCTAGTTTTTCCACAGAGCTTTGACGAGTTCTAATTAGAAACTACCCCTATAGAAATTAATAGCTGGCAAGTTATTGGGAGAAACATAATTTTGAATGTCTGTTGATCCATATTGATAGATTTATATTTATTTGCAAAATTCATCAGAGCTGATGTGGTTTACCAGAAAAATCTGGTTGAGGAAACATTTCTAGCTGTGCATTGACACTCAACTACTAAGCACAACCAAAAAGCTTGTGTTGGTTGTGCATAATTGGAGTAAATATTTTTTCAGCTTTCATTCATTTGGAATGTAGGTTACAACGCTGGATAAAATTATTTAAGAGCTGTTTGAGTATTTTGGACTGGATTTTTTTTTTCTTTTTTATTTGTACAGGAAGCATTTCTCAGTTGTAGGCAACAATTGAGGAAAAGCAGCAAAGTTGCAACACTGAATTGAAGTGACCGGGTCATTCTGGTCTTGTTGGAAGGGGATTTATGGTTTGGGTTTGGGTTTTTATTTTATTTTTTTAAATGCAGCTCCTAAAGTTGTGATTTGCATTTACAGTGAGCTTCCAAAACGTTGCCAATTATTCACAATTAGAGTAAATATTTTTTCAGGTTTCAGTCTTCAGGAACTGAGGTTAGAACATTCAGTGAAACTATTCAATGGCACTTGGTACTAAACTGGGCACATGTGTGTGGGAGGTAGTAAGAAATGCACTAGAAACATCTCTTGGGTGTTCCAGGCAATTTTTGGTTTATATTCCAAAAAAATGCCAAGCCCCTCAGTCAGGAAGGCAGCTGTAACACTGAGGAAAAACATTTGACACTTCAAGTTTTGGCCTGAATTTTTCAGCTGTAAATAGGTGCAGTAGTTTTTGTCCTCCAGCAAACTGGCCACTCTGCTAAATTGAGGATTCCTGAGTCCAGTGCTGGGTGCACCAACACAACAATGACCACACCTGGCCATGGATGTGCACAAGGAGAGGTGGGTCTGATTTTTTACCAGAATTAGAGCAGAAGAGGTCAGTGGGCCACGAGGGGAACCAAGAAGATCCCTTTGTCTGCTCCAACAGCCCAACATGAGCTTCACACCTTTGCAAAGGAAAGGCAGTGAGCTGTAGACCAGGTTCTCCCAGTAGATCAGGTTGCTCAAAGCTCCATCCAACCTGGTTTTGAACACATCCAGTGATGGAGCATCCATAGCTTCCCTGGGCAACCTGTTCCAGCATCTCACCACCCTCACAGTGAAGAGCTTCTTCCTAATTTCTAATCTAAATCTATTCTCTTGCAGTTTGAAGCCATTACCCTCAACTTATCACCACAAGCCCTTGTAAAAATCCCTCCCCAGCTTTCTGGTAGGCCACCTTCAGATACTGGAGGGCTGCAATAAGGTCTCCCTGGAGCCTTCTCTTCTCCAGGCTGAACAACCCCAACTCTCTCAGCCTGGCCTCACAGCAGAAGGGTTCCAGCCCTTTGATCATCTTTGTGGCCCTTCTTTGGATCAGATCCTCTGCTTTTTGTTGTATTGCCTTTCCTCCTCGATTTTTATCATATCAGAAGGAAAGTTAGCATTAACCATACATAAAAAGTCAAGGAATTTGGAAACATTTGGCTTGGTGCATCAATGTTTATTCTGGCATACTGGAATCCTCAGTCCAACGATGGTAACTTGCAGAAGGAATGGTGACAATTCTCTGTAGAAAGTAATTTTTACTTTTCTTTCCTCTGACATAGAAAAGTTTGATTTTAACAGTTGTCAAATAATATGTAATATTGCCATGAAGTCTAGCTAGCTGTTCCAAAGGTTTCATCCAAACACCACCCTGGACAATGTTCACAATAAAATGAAATATCACAACTTGGGTGTTTGTGATTTCAACACCACGTTGATTGAACTGTTGTTCTTTTTTTTTTAAATAGCTAAGCTTAAACATATTTATTTGGGTACTTTAAATGGGGAGCAATAGGTAAACAAAATTTTAAACCTCCTGCTATGCAGCAGATAAAAATATTTGAGAAGCTTTCCAATCCTCCTGATCTTTTTTACAGCATTTTTAAACTCACCCGATTTAGTCACCTGCAGCAAAATTCTGCCTCCTTTGATTTTAATTTCAGTTTTTCCATTTCAGCATACAGGATTAAGATTTCACTCTATTTAGGCACTTAAGTTTGTGGTCTGGTTTTTTTAGACATATCAAACAATTCCCACTCGAGTCAATAGGTGCAATATATGCTCAGCATTCCTGGCACCTGGATTGGACTTGAGATTTCACTCCTTATGTTAACCTACACAGAAATCTCCTTTATTTTCTGATGTAGACCTTCCCACATTATTTTATTTTCTGATGTAGACATTTCTACTTTAGAAATGCTCATTTGGATTTATAGAGACCAGAATTTCCAAGTCTAGTCCCTTAGTTTTGCTGCAGGAACTCCTGAAGGTCTTTCAGATGTCTATCGTGAGCTCTTGCATTAACGTAGGTGATCCTGGAGTTATATTGATTAGATTTATGTCACATTTGCTATTTTAATACCACACACAGCAAATCTTGTCAGTAAAACTTAGTTCATAAATAAACCAAATTGCTTTGGCTGTGAAACTTTGTCAATTTTCTCTTCTGATCATCAAAACTGTTGATAGTTGTTCCGAGATATTCATGAATAGGGACAAGCTTTATTTCTTCACTTGGTATCAGAGAAAGGTTTAAAAATATGGTGCCAAATGATAATAAAAATTATCCAAATGAACAGCGAGCCACCTGAAGCTCCAACTTCTCCTTCCTACCATACAGTAGCTGTCAGTTATATTCAGAATAATGCTTCTCTTCCAGTTTTCATAACAAAGCTATATTACAGCAAACAGAAGGGTTATTTTTTTAAGAATTCTACAGATCTGCTTCACTTCCATCTGTCCTTTTAAAAAATACTGATTTTTTTTTCAATTAAATGCTTAAATATATTCAAAATTATAACAACAGAAGCCAGCCTGAAGTACAACCAAAAAAACCCCAAAAATTAAATGACTACTTTCAATGTATTTTTCCTACACGAACCCACAAAATCAAATCCTAACCCTGTACTCCTATTTTTGGCACACATAAAAATAATCACATAATGCATAGCCAGATGCTGATGGGTAAACTATGCTTTGGAACACTGAGCAAGGGCTGTGATTCCAAACAGCAGATAGGTTCAGCTCCAGTAGCTGCTGCCCGAGCTGTCTGCCAGAGGTTAGCAGCCCCCTGCCACGCCTCAGCTTCACCAGGCTAACTCAGACTCACTCACCAGCTACTCCTCAGAACTTTCTGAGGAGAGAAGAGATGCCCCATAGAGTCATAGAAGTGTTTGGGTTGGAAAAGACCTTTGATAGCATCAGGTCCAGCTGTTAACCCAGCACTGCCAAGTCCACCACTGCCTCATGTCCCTCTGCAGCACATCTCCACGGCTTTGAAACCCCTCCAGGGATGGGGACTCCACCACTGCCCTGGGCAGCCTCTTCCAGGACTTGACAACCCTTTCAGGAAATAAATTTTTCCCAATATCCAACCTAAACCTTCCCTGGTGCAACTTGAGGCCATTTCCTCTCGTCTTGTTACTTGGAAGAAGAGCCCAACCCCACCTGGCTCCAACCTCCTTTCAAGGAGTTGTGGAGAGTGAGAAGGTCTCCCCTGAGCCTCCTTTTCTCCAGGCTCAACAACCTCTTTTGGAAGGATATTCTCATTAACAGACAACACACAAGCCAGATCCCTCCCTCTGGAGTTAAATCATATAAGGGACCCAAAGTGACCAACCACCAGAGGAATGAGAAGGTTGATGTATCCCTCCCTCTGGTGTTAAATCATATAAGGGACCCAAGGTGACCAACCACCAGAGGAATGAGAAGATAGATTGATGCATTCACTCACAGTGCAAGCTGCAGTGGAGACAGGAGCTACTCAACAGAGGACCCAGGCAACCAGTCCAATGCCAGTGGTGTGGCCACAGCCATAAAATGGTGCCATTATTATGGATATGTTCCTTCCCCTGCTCCCAGCCCTATGGATGTCCCAACACCACTGGGGGCTCTGCCTACAGCAGGCAGTTGAGGGGACCTTCCAGTAACTGGAAGCCCTACATGGTATATTCACTACCTAGGTAAGCTGCCACCCTCAGCAGAGCCAGCTTTATGCTGTTAACTTGGAGTGGGACACCTGATGGTAATGCTGAAGGTGGGGGCACCTGGTGGTCATCTCCTAGTTGGTTCCTACCCAAGGAAAGCCAATCAGGAAGGTCTTTCTTGCCTGGTTGTAGACCTCACCCATATGTCAACCCTGATTCAGGGCTGGGAATTTAGATCCCTCAGCTGCTCCTCAGAAGACTTATGCTCTAGACCCTTCACCACCCATACAGCTCTCTCTTCTCTGGCAGGGAAGCAGGGCAGACATCTGGCACAAGGACTTCAAACCTCTGGCAAGCATGGCTAGGTCTATCTAGAACTGCAAATGAGAGCCCTAAGACAAAGTTCAGTCAGCCTCAACATGCCTACCAGGTAGTAGTGCAAACCTACGCCCTACGGCTCGCAGTGGCTTGGAAGGAGAAGCAAACCTTTGAAAAGTAAAGTGCAGCCAAAATGTCTATGTAGAAACTGCCATGAGTTTTTAAGTGGAGGAGTTCTGGAGGAATCAAACACCAAGCCAGGTGGTGACCCTCAACCACGCACGAAGAGTCTCTCCTTGTTGGCAATGTCACGCTCATACTTTTTTGGGGTTGGTTTCTTTCTGGCCACTTCTTGGTTTCATGGCTTTTTTGGGGCCGCTGAGCAGTGGGTTGATGTTCTTGGTGGATGGTTTTGGGGCTCCACTCCGACCACTGTGTCCTGCGTTCTGGTTCTTGCTGCGGGCTGTTCGCAGCTTTTGTTCTTGCAACCTCTGTTCCCACCTCTGTGGAATAAAAAAGAGAGTTAGGGAAGGAGGTAATCATAAATAATTAGGACCTAATCAATGCTACGCCGAAGCACTGATTCTAGTGCTGCTTTTAATAGTTTTGTGCTCTGTCCTTCAGGGCTGTTGGTCTCACCATGCTATGGCTGTCTGCAGGGAGAACCTGCCCCGTGTTCTTGGGTGGTGTCTTCTGTGCTCCACAGGCAGCTCAAAACCTTCATTGTAAGTGGTAACTGAAGCTAAAAGTTGGATGCAAGTCTTCAGAGATGAATGATGGGCATTAAAATGAAGCCACTGTGATACCCAGCTCCATACTGGCTATTTTTGGGTAGTCATGGTCATTATGTGCATCTTTATAAAGCAAAAACTTTATAAAAAAAAGCAGGCATTTAGGTGTATCCCACTCAACCACATTTAAATGAGGATTTAAGTCATGAAACTATTAACATCAGAGGGACTGGCACGTGCTTTGAGACATATTTTGTTTGGCAGTCTCAAAATGAAGGTCCAAGACAGGATTAAAATGACAAAACAGTGTGAGGAGGCCACCAAAACACACCCTGTGTCAGTAACAGGGCATTAAGTTGACAGCTAAGGGATTTCAAGAGTCCAAGTCACACGTCAGTGTTCTCCTAAATGCCACATGCTATCATCTGCAACTGCAATGTATTTATTTTTTAAAGCTTTAAAGCATGTTTTCTTTTCCACACATAGTTCTTACTATGAGTAAGTGAGGAGAAAAGGGAACAATAAAAGCAGAGTCACTATTGGAATGAGCCACAGTTCACACAAAGATCATCCAACCATCCTATTTAGAGACAGTTTACAGATGAAATAGAGGGAAAATTTTAGAGACCCTAAAATGCAAGATGAAATCTTTTCAAATTTTCACTTACCTGCAATAAGGAGGTATGAAAATGTTGAAGGGAAAATAACAATACCCAAAGGTGTTACAGAAAGTCAAGCAAGTTGTTCAGTGCTGAAGTGGGACAAAGATTTTTCACTTTTTATCAAGAATATCAATGATTGGTTGTATTTACCTTAAATCTTTTGTTTAGCTGATCCTTCCATTTTTCAACCAGGCATCCATCCAGAAGCATCAACCTGAAAACAAAGGAATAAAGACAAGATATTACAGATATTTCCAGTTTTGATGCCTGATGTCATTCCAGATGATTCAACACAGGCTGAGGTTGAGATGCAGCAGCAGGTACTTGCTATTGACAGATTCTGTGTACAGGATGAGAGCCAGAAAAATATTTTTCTCCATCCTTAAATAGCTCCTCCTGGATTTTTACATCTTATATTGATGCTTCTGAAATTCTGTTCTAAGCTCTGTCAGAACAGAAAACAGATTTCAGAAGAAATCAGGTTTTACACCCAAAACTGCAGCACGTGGTCTGTATTTGAGGAAACACTTCAGAACCTTTTCTCCTCACCTGCAGGTTTCCTTCAGAGGAAAATTTCCCTGTCTTGATCTCCACTAGCAAGAAGTGTTGGGTTGGATAACACCCCATGAAACTGTTTTAATGTATAGACACATATTTCACTTATGCTCTCTCTCTGTTTGTGTGCAGAAGAGTCATTTGATGTATTTTACTTGTGAATTAAAACAAAAAAAAAGCTGTTTCACATGCTATTAATACAGCTCAGCTGACAAATTGTAAGACATTACCTGAATTATTGGAATAATCTCTATTTCTACCTAAAAATACATGAGGACAGCATTATGTATTTCCTATAGGTAGCTACTGAAGTGCTTTAAAGGGAATTTGGAAGGTGGAAGCAGTGCTGTTTGCCTACCAATGAAATCAGGCTTGCTCCTGCATGAAAATACTGAGTGTAGGTGTCATGAGATGACCAAAACAAAAATATAACTCTTAAACATATCAACCTTAAATGGCTTCTAAAATAATTTCTTCTAAATCAGTCAGACATCACATCTTCTAAGTCCTAACCTAGTAAAAACTATATTCCAGGGATGCTGATTTCTGCATCTTCTCTATCACTAACTATTTAACTACTTGAACCTTTTTTCCTTCTTTTCTTTTCCTTGTTTCAATTTATTTTATTATTCTTAATATGCCCTAGTATCACTTCCCTAATTCTGGAAGGTTTTACTTAGACATTAAGTAAACATTAGTAGTGTTGGCTTGATGGTTGGACTTGATGATCTTAAAGGGCTCTTCCAACCTAAAGGATTCTATGATTAGCATTGACTGGAGGCAACAAAACAGTTCCAAAGGAGCACAAAATGCCACCAGTCGTTGCCATCAGCCACTGTGCATCCTCTTTGCTCAAACACAAAAGGACTACAGTGAGCACAAGCCCTGGAGAACCCAAACACAACAGGCTGCCCATCTCTATGTCTTCCTAAGAGAGGGAACAGGGGATTGAAGCTAAGGCTGCATTCCAAGGGATGAAACCACAACGTGGTTCCATCTGATGCAGCTTCTCTTCAGGTCAAACCACTGAGTGAGACCCAAACCCTAACAGTGGGTGTCTTGCCATGGACTTCAGCAGAGAGACAACTTCCCCCCATTTTGCTCCTGGCATTGTAGAAAGCTGCTGTAACTCCAAACCTTCTGGTTGGCTGCCTCTGAGTTCAACAGGAAACTCATAGAATAGTTTATGTTTCTTTTTCAAATCCATTTTAGTGCACTATACGAAATTAAAAACCTCAGTGACCTTTCAAAACCAGCACAAAATATTTAGTGAATGGTGTGTTTTTCCATAGTAGTGGAGAAGCAGATGGCAATCGTTCACTTTTTTTGAAATCTCTCCTTCCTGACAGACTCTTGAGGGTTTGCTCCAAAAAAACTCTGCAGCCCAGAGCTCCTCAATCACAGTCTTGGTCTTGGTCCTTCCACGTGACTCAGAGCATCCCTAAAGTGAGGAAGTAGCCCTAAAATGGCTAACACAAAGTAAAAGGTTCTAAATTAATCTCTATGACATACTTCCACACATGGAGGGACAAGGTGCTGTGTGATAATAAAATACTGTGCCTGCTAGCTCACAAAAAATAAAGGTTCTCAGGTGGCAACTTTTAGAAATACCTCTGAAATGCCTTTAAAATCTCAATATAAAACTCATTGCAAAGGTGGATATGGCCCATCAGGTTCTGCTCACAGATGTCCTGTGGTCCTTACACGTGCACATCATCAATGAATGGCCACACTACATGAAAAAAACCAGCACATTTTACATTTTTTAGCCTTAGCTCTGACCCACAGCTCACAGCTACCACACCTAGCACACCACGACCTGTCCTGGTGGCAGCTCTTGCTGCTGGTACACACTGATAACTGGCTTGGGACACAGAGGGAGAAGGGAGCTGTGATTCATCACTCCCTCCCCTCCAGACCAGCATGTGGGATCTCCTTCCATGCCTGGGGCTAGGCTGGCTGCCAGCTGAAAGGTCTGCTGAAGTTAGTGTTGTTTTGTCTTCTAATCATACAGCAGCACTGGCAAGCTGCTCAGAGAGTATTTACTTTTCCTCTGCCATGTGGGAGCTGGAACTCCAACAACTGCAGCTTTGGCTGCTCCTGGTACAGCTGTGGGATCAGAAACATCTCGCTGATGGCCCTGGTCCAAAGTATGGATAGGCTGGTGGAGAAGGCCTGGCTCTGCCTCCAGCAGCTCTGCAGACAGATGTGTGTCATCTCCTGTCCTCACCCTGGGGTCGTTAAGGCAGAACTATACCTTCCACATGGTCCTGCCAACATGGAGCACCATCTACAGCCACCACCAAGCTTGTACCACACAACGCAGCTCATACCTATGGAGAGAAGTCCTGGAGAGACCCTTCCAAATAGCTGGAGATGCCTGAACTGCTGCAAGATGCATTAAGCAATATACTGACAGCTCCTAATGCCACCAGAGTTTGTCCTCCCCACGAGCCAGGTTTTGTCACCACAGCACCCTGGGGCAGAGCTGAGATCGATTGAGTGGAAAAAGACAATTGTGAAGGTCATTGAAACATGTCAGTGGGTTATCTGAAGAAAAACTAGGACCAGAAAAGCTTGGTGGGTCCTCCTTCCCATCTACCAGAGCTCTCTGTAACATTTTCCTGGGCTCACCTCGAGCGCCACTCGTAGCACATGATGAGGACGTCCTGCTTCGGCTGAAGAGGTGGACACTGGCAGGAGGAATTGGTCAGAAGAGGCACTTGAGACAGAGGAATGGGTGTTGAAGACTTAAGGATGTCTTTGACTTCGACCACAGTTGTGATTTCCTGGCAATTCCCTTTTTCTACGTTTTTCACTTTAGCGTGAATGACTGCGAGGAGAAAAGAGAGGCGTGAGGACAAGGGACAGAAACTCAACCACATCTCAAAACCAAACACATCAAACTGGAAGCTGGTGTTTCGGCTGTGAAACCAGAACTGCTTCTCCATGTGTGGGCACGTCCAGTGGCTTAGAATAACCAGAGGCCTGATCTCGGGTTGGTTTTGTGCAGGGTTGTTGACAACCGTGAAATTAAACATGGGCTTCGAGCTTTGCCAGAGGAGGCTGAGAGATCTCGCCTGGAATCACACACACAAACAGCTGCTTTGACTTGGGCTCCACCAACCCCTCACACATCAGCCCCATCCTGCAGCCAGAGCTGGCTGTTTCCAGTTCACTAGGGAAGGATTTTCCTCACTGAGAGGTGGCGTGAGTTCAGCCTCTTCAAGAATAAAACCATTGCCCTGCAGCCAGCACCCAAGAACTGAAGTATTTCCTTGCCTATGAGAAAGAAGGGAAGGTTTGAAACAAGTGGTCAACAACTAAAAGGTTTAGGATTGTCAGGATTTACTCAGTCCATACTTTTTTTTTCATTGTTTGCTTCTGGATTATCCACCAACATCACGACCCTCCTATAAAACACCCCTCGAAACGTGTTCTTCTGACTCTGACTACACAAACATCCTTATTTTTACCTTTTATTGAGGAAAACAGCTTGTCTGCAAGAAGGTAGATTGCTCTGAGGATGATCCCTGGCTGGCTTTGTACCTGCAAACCCTGGCAGTACCCACCAGGGCAGCATTTCACCCCCTCCCTCTTTTGAGAAGGACCAAATCAGGGAAAAGAAGCAGGATCCATTTTCAAGTTTCACTGAAACCAAGATTTCACCAGCTAGAAATGCACTGAAACCAAGATTTCACCAGCTAGAAATGCAGTTTGGCTGCATAAGTTATTTTAAAGGACTTCAGAAAAAACTTGGATTTTATTTGCAACTTGTTCTTGTCTCTCAACTAATTCTCCATAGGAACCTGTCTATTTATTTCAGAGGAGACTGAATAAAAATCAACCTCTCAATCCCAAAATCTCCATTTCACAGATTCAATAGAATTAAATTTTGGACCCAAACCTTTTGATTCAAGCACCACTCCCACTGAAGCCACTGGAATCAGAATTTGTGTGGCTAACCCCTGGGTTTCATTTAGGAATAGTCATTTTATATAGTTGCTTTTTCATCTACTTCAGAGAACTGTTTAAGTTCATTGTCCCACCTCAACAGGTCACTGGGTTGTACTGAGATGGATTAAGGAGCTATAAATAAAAATATATATTACATAAATGCACAATTAAATTAGATGTTCAGCTTGATTATTCTCACCAAATTAGGGTGTGGATTTTTTTTCCCCAAATACTAAGAAGAAAATAACTACAAAAACTAAAAAACCTACAAACTTACTTTCATTTGATATCAGACAAAGAGGAATTGAGTGGGTATAAAAACCATATTGCATAAGGACTGAGCACAGCCCTTGAAGAAACAACTGTCACCTGAGAAAAAGCCCATGAAGTGCAAAGGACCTTGATACTGCACATTAAATTAATCCTTAAAAGGGGTTTTCTATTGACATTACAGATGTTTAATCCAGTATTTCTCTAAATTAGAGTTCTTCCTGACTCCCAGCAGCAAAAAATTGAGGAGAGAGCCAAGGGGAAAGAGGGGTGAGTATTTATATTGCCAATATGTCATGCCATGGGATAAAACTATCGACCAACTCCTTGAATGGTCCCCAAATTCAATTAATCTCTGACAATTCTGTGCCTGGCAAAACTCTGGCTAGTAAGTAAAAGCCTAAATTCATTTCTAAGGAATAACTTTTTACCTCGTTTCAGTTTCATTCGCATTTAAAAGTCTTTTTTTAGGTGATAAACCTCTGGTTATTCCACCTGCTGGATAAAACCAGGAGCTGGCCAAGCAGCTCATGGTCACGTTCACATTTAGATGTAATTGCACTTATTAGAGTGACCTTTCCAAAAGCAAAGACCCTTTTTCTGCAGAGCGACCTGTTGATCCCTGGGCACATTACTGACATTTCACTGCTCTTGTCACAAACACACCATCCTCTGCACAAGGACCACTGGATGGCTGGTGGTCCTGGGGCAAAAAAGCTGCGGTGGGGCGGTGTGGTGGAGCAGGATGGGACCTGCTGTGGGTGCAGCACCCACCCAGAGCTCTGTAACTCACAGAGGGGGGCACGGAGAGGGGTGGGATGGGCACAGTGAAGCGTTTTCCCCCTGTACTTACTGTAGCTGTAGTTCTTGGCCAGGTAAGTCGAGAGCGTTGGCTTTGTCTTCTTGCACCTGCATCGCTCTTCAAAGGAAGAGAAGGGGGACACGGTTGAGGGGAGGTCACAAGGGGGGGGCCCGGCTCCGGGAAGGAGGATTTTGGGAGGGTTGAAGGGGTGCCTGAGGCTCACCCTGGCCGCGGCTCTTGCAGTCGGGCTCTGGGGGTCTGTCCGGCACCACCATCCCCTGCGTGAAGTCCGACCACTTCGCATCTGCAAACGGGGA